ACACACACACACACACACACGGCGACAGAGACGAGATTAACACAAACATAAACACGACACACAAATACACACAGCCACAAACATATTATTATCATGAGATAACAGAAACTAAGTGTAAAAAATAATACCAGAACATTTTATTGTCACCGACTGGATGAGCCAGCACTGAGGCCCAGCAACAACCATTATAACGAAAGTAAAGGTTAACGGTAGATCTATGATTCTCACACCCACACACACAGATCAGAAATCCCCAACTAGACACAATGTGTATGTGTGACAAAGTCCACTCAAACTGGCACTGACACTTAAGACTCGAGACTCTCTACGTCCTCATCCGCCCAGACTGAATCAGAAACTGACACACACTTATTACACAAGGCGTATACATTTTCCACCAAGTTCTGGCTACTTTAGCACAGCATGACACATGACGTCTGTGTCGCAAACAATCCGCTTAAGTCCAAAATTTTGAGACTTTTACTTTTAGATTATCAACACCCCCCCCCCCCGGGAAGCTCTACCAAAAATGCATCTTTCAACATCGCCAAAATGCAGTTTAATCCCATGGTCAAAGCTTACAATTACAACTTTCTTGTTTTTCATGATTCCTGATAGGAACAACACAACTTACACTAGATCTTTTTTTTTTTTTGTTTCCGACGTAAAAAGTAGCCAAACAAACTTAAGTGGATAGCTCGCGACACAGACGATATAATGTACATCCCAGCGCCACCAGAGACCCTTGCATATTCTACAAAATGTAATAGATCAAGCAATATCACATTACACAAATAAGCAACTGTTAGTTAAAAGGAATAAACTTTCTTCGTACATTTTACAAATCCAGACCATTAGACTGCCCACAGTTCAGCTCACAATAATATAATCATCATAATAATAATGCATATTCTGTAGCGCCAATGACCGTACAATACATCTACAGACGCTTTGCATCATCTTACCACAAAATACATGAACATGAACATTTAAACCATACACTCTTTAGATTTCTGTTAACATAAGCACACATTCTTTCTAATACTATTACTATCACAGCACATTCGATGACGAATGCACATCACACTTTGAACATATGATGGAAAGAGTACTGTTAATAAGAACAAATTAATTATCAAGATGGCATTTATTAAGATATGTTTTAAAAATGAATTTTAAATTTTGCTTCCAGATTTGTATCCTTCAATTGTTGTGGTTTGTTTCTTTGTATGTTTGTTTGTTTGTTTGTTTGTTTGTTTGTTTGAGTAATGAGAAGCACATCAACACACAATAATGGTCATTTAGTGTTGGGAAAAAGTAATACAGACAGACACACAAGCAGACAGACAGAAACAACAGAGGGAAAGGTCAGAAGTAAAAACTACCAGTGGTGCCATCCAATCATCCACCATTGTTGTGGGATAGAGTTCCCGGGAAGATGGAGCTAGATGAAAAAAAGGACATCCGAGCGAGTTTTTCACCTCCCTTCCTAGGTGTTCTCACAAAAGACTGATCTGATCTTAGAGATACCTCGGAGTGAGTTTGCTTTATTAAATCGAGGAGGCTTTATTGTTAACACATGACAAACGACAGATATCTTGTAAGTAATTCTGGAAGTTGTCGGGAGCCAGAGGCCAGCAGAGTGTTCTAAAACTAAAAATAGGGCCCGTGATACAGTTGTTCATCCTCAATGTTAGACACTATTCTTTATCAAGGCTTGGTTTTTAAAAGCTCTGCAGTTTCAAGATGGTAATGACTGGGAGGTTTACAATGAGAGAGGTACAGTAGTAATCCATGCCAGAGAACACAACAGATGAAAATGAGGATTTTCAACAAGCTGAGGAGGGCATCAGTACAGAAGCAAAGAGAAGAAAATACTCTCGCTTCTTGACACATTCTACACACAAGGGGAAATATATCAGAAACCACAGGTACAAGGACTATTCCCAAACTGACACACCCAGACAACCCACTGGTTAACCTTTGCGACACACCCGCGAGACACACCGACATACCCGCGGGATAAGTCACAACGATACACCCGCGAGTCACATCAACACACCATCTTCATGTATACCATAGTATTACAAGGTACCATTAACACAGCGACACAGTCACCCAGACTCCCCAAGGAAGCATAAAGTCAAAGTATGGCGCTTGGAAAGAATCAAGATAATTAATAATAATCAACACACATGAGCATCATGAACGAATCATAAATAGCACATAGTACAATCATGGCAGAATCATAATGAGCACACGTAGCATCATGAAAGGAAAAAGTCACAAACAAGCCAAGCAAGCGAATAACCACACTACAACCTGTAGGCAGCTAGGAAGAGCACCCCAAGAAAACCTTGTGACGAATGGTGCATCAGTGTGAGGGAACTTCTTTTTTAAAGTTTTAGTAGAGGTTTTACAGCGCTCGCAACTGCATTTGGTCATATGAGCGCCAGAAGATTAGTGGTGTTACAAGAGAGTAACAAACATAAAAAAGAAGAAGGGGAGATAAGGGTGATAGATGTTTCATAGGAAAGAACCACACCAGAGCACCCACCAACCACCCACTGAGGGAACTTCTGCACACCTCATAGATTCTGCAGTTCACAACTGAGAACCAAATTAGAATATTTTTTCTTTAAATTTAAAGGCAATTTTCGGATGTTTTACATCCCCATTCACATAATTTAGATCGTTTAAAAGGCAGGTTTCCTTGAACATCGCGGCTTGAACACCACCTTTCAGGCCCAACATCCCAGCACAAAGATGGAGATACTGGACAAAGACAGAGATACTCGATTGATCGTAAAAATATTCCCCACTCTAGGGGAGTCTTAGCCTTTGAAGGTATGTTACTTGACTTGTATTGACAATGGTAGGCTACTGTGAGCTGGCAAAAAAAGGAAAGAGTCAGGCAGGAGGAATGGTGGAACAGCCCAAAATTCCTTTGTGTTACCATTGCTAGATTTGCTAGATATTTTTGGTTGTGTTTAGTTTTAGTAAGGGATTTATGGCACTTGCACCACAATAAGTCCATATATATAAATGCCAAACATTAGAGGCGTTAGTGTTACAAGGGAGTAGAAAACACACCAAGAAAAAGAAGCAAGGGAGATTAGGACGTGACGATACATGTTTTAATAAAAAAGAAAGAATAATTTGGTCGAGTTAAGGGAAGTTGCAGCAAAGTATACAATAAAGAGGTTGAGGGGAAACGGAGATTTGAAATCGTTTCATGTTAAAAGAAATTTTGTGATAAATAGGGTCGAACCAAACAAAGGAAAAAAATCCCCTCCATCTTTACCTGAATCTCTCTCAGTACAAAAACTTCTCACGATCCAATCCTTCACATCTTCTCCCTATCAATTCATTCACATCTTCAGTAAAAAAAAAAATTGTTTTTAATAACCAAGAAAATTTGTGGGCGATTTGATTTGTTCAGATCTGTTTGACGACGGTGATAGTTATGAAGGAATGAATGAAGAGATTTGAAAAGAATTTTGAAGCTGTATAAAACAAGTCAGTTTCTCCAAACAGTAACGAAAATGACGGAAAACCAAACAACAAACTGGTGGCAAGTAAGCTGTTCTACTGTTCTAAGCCCAGAGAGCCTATTTTTCAGGAGAGGAAAAAAATGTTGGACCTCCTTCAAAAGACGGCAACATTTCACTGAAACCTATTGGACCAACCTCACATCTAGAGGAAGTAACTTTTCATTGAAACAAATTGGACTACCCACCCAGATGAAAAAACACTTCATTCTTTGTGAATGTCTGTCTCAACTGTCAGTTTGTCACCCAGATAAAGTGACATTTCAATGATTGTGACGATGATGAGCCAGATGAGACAACATGGCAGCGCGTTGTCTGTTGAGCTGAGGACAACACCCCGAGAAACACAACAACCTTCCTCCTCAAAGAGATGACAGTTACAAAATGAACAGGCTGATCTAGAATGTGTAAGTACAGGAAATCAACAAAAATGGCCACAGAGTGGAATGAATTCCATACTGAATGTCTCTGAGGGGCTTTGAATATCATCAAAACATCATCAAGCTGTGAGACAAAACGGATCCATTCACAAAGCCCAAGCACTTTGCAATCGCTCTTTCATCTTTTCATATGTTTTATGATTTTTACAAACAACGGCACAACCGTCCGCTAAACATTTTCAACACCGTCATAAAGAGAATCCCTCATAATAAGAAAACTTTCGGAATAAAGACGCAATATACAAAGCAAATCCCAGAGGCCGACAAGCCTGCAGGACATGTTACAATTTTATTTTAGTACACAAAATTTTTGACAGTGGTGGCACTCTCCAAAGACGGCATCACTTCCTCCACGTTGCTCTTGAGCTGCGAGTACTTGGGCCCACCGGAGCGACGCCGTGACCCGCCTGTTCCGTGACGACCTTCCACGATAAACGCAACAATCTGAAAAACGACAAAGTTGGGCGTCTGTTAAAAGGAAATACAGAGCAAACCACACCAGAAAAGCACCAACCAACCACTCACCACTAGATTAAGCGTCTATAATTTCCCTACCACTTGACTAATTAACTATCGGTTCCCTACCACTAGACTAAGCAACTATCATTTCCCTACCACTGAACTGAGCAAGTATTATTCTACAGAGAAAAAGGAATTTCTTCTACCACTAGCACAAATGACTCTGTTGTTCCCAGCAGTCCAGTGACAAGGCACACAAGTCTTGGGACATATCAGACACAATCACTATACAGTATACAATACACAGACACAAGCTATATCATAGACTGTATAATACATAAACACAGACCATATATCATACATTGTATAATACACAAACACAGACCATATTATATCATGTGTTTAAAAATGCTAAAACACAGACCATATTATATCATGTTTTGTAAAATACATATATATATATATGTATATATATATATATATATACAGACACCAATTATATATCATGTGTTGTATCAAAGACATTGACACAGACCATATCTACTATGTGTTGTAAAAGTAAAACACACAGAAACAGAGCATTATGGTCGCTTTGAAGGACAAGCGGGTTAACCCAGATTTCTGGGGTTTCCAGAAATCTTGACTTACACCAAAAGTGGGCATTACCTTACCAATAGGAGAAATTTGGTTTCATTAGTGTGTATACAGTGGAATCCTGTTATAACGAGAGGGAGGGGACCGGAGCAAAATGTCCGTTATAGCAGGATTCTCGCTATAAGGGATCCAGTAATAAATTCAAGGGAAACTGTAAAGTAGGCCAAATCTATGATTTTGTGGTTCTGTTTATTTCCTTTTGATATCTCCCCTGATGATGATTTGGTTTCAACTAATTCAACAAGACCTGTACTTCTTACTTGATCAAAAATCGAATCAGGTTTCTATCTCTAGCGCTATAGAACTAGCGATGTTGACTGACAGCTCGGCGTTGGCGATCAGAAAGAAACGGCTCTCGGCTAACTCGCCCACTGTGTTTTCCCCCACCCCACCACACCTTGTGGTGCATTCCGTCAGCTTGCGCACGTCACTAATTCGCTCCATCCATTACATTGCTGTGACCTCTCCATCCCCCATCGGAGAAGTGAGAGGCATGGTAGGCCTTGATAATCTAAACTAGGCTTACACTGGCCTATCACGCGATGCATTCTGCTTGTCTGCGCATGCCACACCCTCCCTACTCAGTCGCTCCGGCCTTCATTGTTGACACATATTGGCTCTCCCATTGTTTCGCTAGATCACCAACAAGTTTCTCAACTGGCGAGGTTTTTTAATTATGTATAATTGGCCTATGCGCTGTGCACAGTAGCAGCAATATTCCGCTATAACCGACTCGCATGTTTGTCTGATTGCACTATAGCAGTATTTTATTTACAAAGGTAAAGAAGAGAAAAAAACGTGGTTTTAGAATAGCGTCTTTATAACAGACTTCTCGTTTTTTCCGGACTCGTTATAAGTGGACTCCACTGTATTTGTTTGGTTACAGAGAAAACATTCCTTGTCTTTTAAAGAAACTGAACAAGGGGCAAAAACTTCACCTCCGATTTTCTCAAAACAGCATTTTTCGGGATAGCCCCCCTTGCGCTTTTAAAAGCGACCATATCATGTTTTGTAAAATACAGACACAGACCATATAACATGTGTTGCAAAACAGACACAGACACAGCGAATATCATTTGTTGTAAATACACAGACACAGACCGTATATTGTGCGCAGATAAGTCGCAGGTTGATCTGACAGCTAAAATTTTGTTATAATAGTAAGTCATACGTTCATCGATTGAGATGCACAGACTTTTTCTGGACAAGCACTACCACCTGAAAGTTGCCAATTTCATTCCCAGAAAACCAAAGCAAAAACATTCTCGCATTGATACATCATGTAGACAAACTTCCTATTGTCATTATTTAAAATATATCTGACCTCACTCACCATCATTCAACCCAGTTGCCCCATCCCCATCAGGCAAATCACTCAATTTGAAATTTCTTTCCTCAGTCAGCCCCCACTGGGTGTTTTGGGGTCTAATTTCTTATCTCATGGAAAACATGTAAAGTGACTTTGAATACTTGAAGCCCTAACAAGAACTTGCCTCCTACCAGCGGTGATGTATGGCAGCAACGGGAGGGAAAAAACACACACACACACATGAGAGCGTACGCATGCATGCACACACACACGATTTGTAGGATTTGTTTGAAAAAGTTGACTGACCTTCTGCTTGTTGTGGAAGATGACGTAGCCCGAGATACAGATGACCACAGCTGTCAGGAAGTAGGCGAAGAAGTGGCCAGAGCCAGGAGAGTCGGGGTCACTGAGTACAGGAGGGTGGACACCATAGTTCTGACCGTTGCTGTTGGGGAGGGGGTCTCCTTGCCTTTGACCTTCATGCTGGGTGGGGGCATTGGTCGCTGATTCGGGTAACCCATCCAGCGGTTCTGGCCCAGCCCCGGGGTCTGAGACTTTCGTCTCTGTACTGCCATCATTATCCAGAACAGTCCCTGCGGAGTCACCACCGCCGATCTCCTCTGCACCACCATCAGCAATCTCCTCTGCACCACCATCACCACCAGCACCAACAACCTTCACGTGATCACCATCACCACCAGCAACCACCTCAGGTAGACCCCCAACCTTTTTATCATCACCAGCCTTATCACCAGCACCAGCCTGAGGGGTGTTGTCTTCCCCTGGACTTCCGTCCCCATTTCCAGCATCTTTGGTGGTTCCCTCTGTGCTGGTCCCTGCTGTTTGTTGACCCCCACCCTCTCCCTGTCCTGTCGCTTTCGCCCCGGGAATCTCCACATTTTTAGGTTTGTTTTCCTCATTTGAGTCTGTGGGGAGGTCCTGGGGCTTGTTGCCTTCAGGAATAGCTGGCTTTTCTGTTGCTACTGCAGGGATGGGAGTTTCAATCTTGCCACCATCACCACCGGCCCCGCCCCCAGTTCCACCAGCTCCGCCCCCTAACACTGGGGTTCCAGCACTTGTTCTAGTCGGAACTGTTGGCTCCGCCCCTGACATTTTCTCCGGGGTAGACTGACCAGGGCCGAGTGTCTGGCCATCAACCTTCTCTGTCATGCCAGACAAGGCGGGGGTCACTCCGCCCGCACCATTCAGGGATTTGGTGGAAGCAGCTGTTTGTCCTGGACTAGCAGTCACTCGTTGACTCGGCTTGCCAACCTCGGGTCTCTTTGTCACTCCTTGTCCGGGCTTGTCTGTAATGTCTGCAGCCCCATTTGTTCCAGTATTCCCCGAAGCCCCATTTGTCCCAGCTTTCCCCGCACCGCCTGTATCCCCTGCAGCCTGGGTGGGTTCCTGCGTCTTCGCGGGACTCTCGCTGGCAACTACGGTACTCCCAGGCTCCGTGTGAGGCCCTTCCGTTGGACTGGTCGCTGCGGGCGCACCTGTCGAGACAATGGACAGTGAAAGACACAGGGTAAACGCTTCTCCTTCTTTGGCAGCTCTACCTTGTGTTTCTACATAATTCTTTCCCTCTTTCTTCCCCTCATTTTCCATACCCCTCTAGGAGCTGCGGGCTCCTCACCTGCTTTACCAGCACCCCAGCCCTCTCTTTTTCTCTCTCATATCCTCCAAACCCGTTCCCAACCTTCTCTTTTTCTCTTCTATATTCCCATAACCTCATCCCTATCCTTCTCTTCTCACCTTATTTTCCTAACTCATACCTATCCTTCTATTTCTCTCTCCTTGTTTTTCTTAACTTGCCTTTACCTTTCCCCTCCAAGCTAAAATCTTTCTTGTGCCTCGCGACTTTCATTAAATCCTTTACTTTGACTGGGCAAAACATTCTTAAATGGAAGTTTGAAAGAGAAGCAATGACCACGCCGTTGGTGCAAGTGTAATGTGGGGCCAGACACACAGGACAAATCATCACACTACCCTGCCCTCTGGAAACACCATGTTGTGTTCACACACACGCATGCACGCACGCACGCACGCACGCACGCACACACATACACACACACATATATTCTGAAATATATATTATAGTCGCAGGTATAAGTGTGCCTTCATATTGGTGAACTCTAGCAGCCCTGGCAGTGTTTAAAAAACATTAAAATCCCCACATGCACACACTAAAAATAAATTGAAGCCCTCCTACTCAATAAGCATTCATAAGCAAAAACAAAATTGAGCATATTAATAAATGCATCTGTATAAATATGTCATGTCAACAGGTTTTTACCTGTTGAGGAAACAGGACGGATGCAGCCCTTCCACGTCGAAAAGTGACACAAGGCGGAGGTGATGAGCTGGCACACAGGCTCAAAGATGCTGGAACAGACTCTGTCGCATTCTGTTTTGTTGAGCATAAAACCTGGCAGGTATGATTTTGGGTTTTTTGGCAGTCCAGAGGCGTACCAGCATGAGTCCTGCTCCAGAGTAAAGACAACATCATTCAGCAAGGAATCTCTGCTGAGATTTGACAAAACAAACTTTTCATACTTTTTCTTGTCTTGGCACAGAGTATCGGCGAGTTTGACAAATTTTGTACACAGTTCTCTATACAAGAGTCCATCTTCCTGATCAAGCGGTTCTCTTGTGGGGTCTTCAGGTAGAACCGAGTAGCACTTGCTTAGACTTAGAGCAGGGGAATTGCTGGTGCCTTCTGCACTCTCATTATAAAAGAACGGACTGGGAAAACTGCAGTTGTTGCTCCTCCAGCTGGCGATGGAAGCGTTGAAGCTCTTGTCGTTGTGGGTCGGCTGTGTGGGCATGACGGCTGGCCCACCCTCACAGGCTGGACAGTCCAAAAGAACCGTGACCAGCACCACCACCACGGGGAGAGAAAGCCTCATTTTTCTCAACATAATTGTGTGCTCCTTCAGATTGCTTAGAAGACCTGTCCCAAAACTGGTGAAATATGAAGCATACTATAACAATGTCCTTCGTGAATTGTCACACATATAGAGACAAGCTCAGTACAATAACAATCCTTTTCCCAACACTTCAACTTCAGCACAGATCTGGCTCCTAGGAGAGACACGATCCTAAGGAGGAAAAAAAAAGTATTTTCTATATAACACAACTACTGTTACTTTCTGTGAGGCTTACACTTCATTTTTCATACACCTGCGCAATAAGGATAGTATTGCGATGACTTTTCTAGCCAAATACTATACATGTACTCTAGCAATGCCCACCGAGCCCGTTTTGTTCTGTCGATTTTTGGCCTCCGCCGCGGACCGCGGGGGTGTTTCGTGGGACGAACTAACGCAATGGTTGTTGTTAGTGATGGGCAGGTATCGATACCAGGTACTCGATACTTAGATACCTATAGGTATCGGTATCGGTACCGATACCTGCTCTAAACTTCGATACCTATACGTTATTTATCCCAG